GATGAACGAAAGACTCTTGGCCCCCCTCTGCCTGAATCCGTCTATGATAGTTTTGGATAGTAATATCTGATTTTCACCGTCAAACGAGTTGCTCTTATGTCAAAGGAACAGCTACACTGTGGAACATCTAAGTGTTAGAGTGAAACCCGTCTTTTGTCTTAAAGCCTACGAATTTGTTAGTCTTGAGTTTCTTCTAGCGTACAATGGCCCTAACTTGTAAATATTTTAAATGATTAACGGGGGTTGCATTGAAGCTTTCTTCGTAGATATCTCTGCTTCTATGAAATTAACTTTGCAGGAATGTGAACCGGTTGCGAAGCAGGGTGAGAGAGAATCACGTCGCTTGTGGAGGCACGTTACAGTTGCATTGAAGAGGAACAACATACAGGTTGCAACGAGCGCGAAGCGGTGGATTGAACAAAGACAGCGGGATGAAGCAAAAAAGCGACAGGTTCTTATTCTATGCCTTCTTTTGAAGCTGCAGCCTAAAAAATTATATTGTGGTAGAAGTACTGGATTGTTCGAAGCATTATCAGATATGATGCAAAATCTGCCAATTCCAGGAAGAAGGAATCGTTTATCATCCACTTCTGTTTGTACGGGACGGCGAAGGCTGGAAATACAAAGATGAATTACGATGATGCTCGCCTGCACAATCGTTTTTTGTGTCTCTCATCAGTTTTTAAATTATACCATTATTTTGATAGTCTATGGCAGCTTTGTTAATTTTGCTAGGATTTTTTAAGAATTTTTACGAGTTTTCACAGTTATGCGAGTTGAATTTTGTTCAACAAATGTGCTAATAGCTTCTGTTTTATTAGCAAATTTTTGCATTGCCTTTCTTTGAGCTTTGTTGAATGATGCGGATTGTTAGATGACTTTCATCTGCCGATGATAGCCTGTGGTTCGGACAGGCGATATACTGTGATATTTTAGTTCCGAAATAACAATCTTTTTTGTTACTTACAGTTGCGCACATTTATTTTTTATAGAACCTCATGCTCCCTTTCTTCTCCCTGATCCCAATCTTTTACCAGCACTGCAATAACTTAAAATCGGTGCTTGAGTCCTACTGCTGTGGCTGATAACGAGTGTTGACGATTGTCTGCCAGCAGTGCTAA